GGGCTTTCTTTATATAAGCATTTCACATAAGAGCTAAGCAAAAATCCTGCATGGCCACCTTCTGTGGAAAGTGTGTTAGAATTCATTGCGTATATGTTTTTGGCGGGTTACTCATTTAAAACTGTCAATAGTTACACATCTGCTTTAAGTTTTCAGTGTAAACTTAATGACTTCATTGATTCTACACAGTACTTCCTTGTGAGAAAAGTCTTAAAATGTTGCATGAAGGTCAACAGGGTAACAGATATCAGATTACCAATTTCTTAGTCAATATTAATTACTTTGTTAAAAATCTTCATTTTGTTGTACTTCAAGTTATGAGGCTAAACTTTTTCAAGCCACATTTTGTTTGGCAAATTTTGCATTGTTACGAATCAGTGAGTTTGTTCCATCAAATCCAAGAGAGTCAAATAAGGTCATCCGACTGACAGATGTTGAAGTAAATCAAATGCAAGTTTCAATAAAAGTTAGGCACTCCAAAACTGATCAGTTAAGTAAGGGCACTAGATTAATCATCCCACATTCTGGTCAGGGAACAACAGTTAACTCTACTCTCTTGCAGTATCTTGCAGTTAGACCTAATATTTCTTCCCAATTTCTCTGTCATTTTGATTGAACAAACCTTACTTCATACCAATTTAACTTTGTTATGAGGAAAGTTCTTGAATTCAGTAACTACAACATCAAATATTATATATCACACTCTTTTCGTATAGGTTCTGCAACTGATTTATACTTACAAGGTTTTTCAGACGAGCAAATAAAAAATCTTGGAAGGTGGAAAAGTTCGGCATATCAGAATTACATTCGCATTTAGTTACATGTATTTAGTTTTACACGATGCTGAGATCTTTTTTTCAATTTCCAGTTCCATTACAAGTGTATATAGTTGGCTCGTCAATAATAAAATATGCTGAGCAACATGCAAAGAATACTGTAGGTCAACACCTGGGCTTAAACAGGTATAATTTTTTTCTAAATTGGAAAGGTGTTTCTTTCTTCTTTGAAGGTTGAAAATGCACTATCAGCCATTGAAGAACTTGTTCAACATAATAGCCCAGACATAATTGTCATTCATTGTGGAGGTAACAATGTCGGTTCAACTCCATTAGGTCAACTAATGTTTTCACTAAGATCACTACTGAATAACCTTTTTAAAAATATTCATTTGCTCTTATAGTATTTTCACAAATTTTACCAAGATTAGAATGGCGTTATGAACGCAATCACAACTCTTAAGAACTAGTTCGTAAACGCATCAATAATTCCATTTCGACAAAAATAGTCAGAAAAGGTAGAGCTTTGATTAAGTATCTAGAAATAGTTGAAGAATCACCGGCCTTGTTTCGCCGTGACCAAGACCATTTGTCGAGTTTGGGCAATGACATCTTTCTGCACACTTTGCAAGGGGCACTATATAAATTTTGTCATAATAATGATGTTGTTTCTTTTCCTGATGTCTCTGAGGTTGGTCCATGGATTGCTATGTAATTCCCCTTTGCCCGTACGCTTTGTAGCGGTGGACTACTGCCGATAGTCCATTTGGCAGAATACGGGCATGGTTTATTCAGAGACAGATATTTATTAACAGGGCTGGGAATCAAAACTGCGTCGTATCCTACAAAATGTAAACAAACGCCGCCATCTTGGAACGAAAACGTATGTTTTTGTTTATAACTCTTTTTGTTGGAAATGACTGAAAACCAGATATATGTATTAACATGCTACACTATTTTCCGCTTCGTTCGGTATATGTTGCTTGCACAACTATTTTTTATAAAACAAAAGTTATAGCGAACTTGCATCTCGAAGCGGGGCAGAATTTTTATGAAAATGTGTGGATACGACGCAGTTCATATTGCTTTATCTATCGTTTTTTCCTTCAAATCAATTATTTATTTGTTTCAGAGTTCACCATAAACTTCGAAATATAATTTTGCATCATTTACTAAAATTTCACTAAAAAGAGATGTTTATTTTCTTAGAAAATAATGATTTTTACGAAATGATACGACGCATTTGAAAATAAAATATGATACGACGCATTTGTATTTTTGGCAGTCTTTTCAACAGGGATAATTTTGGCAATATATTTCTATTTTACTTGCGCTAGATAAAAAAACCCAGATCATTTGCGGTGTACTGCAATGATCTGTTGCTTTTGATTATTTAGAATAAATTGTGTCATGTCCAATATAACATTTAATTTGAAAGTTTACATTGCTACTTATCAGTTAAGCATGAACATGTTACCAAATTGATCATTATAATATCTGAAATAATTTCTTATATTTTCCGGTATGTTCAATATTATCCCTAATTCTTTTTCGCAAAAAAATATAGAAATCTATTAACTTGAATTCATGTTGGCTAGCTACGCTCTAAGTTAACTGTGGTTCTGCATGTTCTTGGTAATGACTGCTTTTTTGTGGTTTCTTTTCAAACTTTCACTCTATACATTAGCTTTACTAGGGGCGAGGACCTCAGGTGCTCCTTTGTGCATTGTTTCAGGCAAAATGTTGCACCTGCAGAGAACCATCGACATTTTGAAACTAGCTTGATAGGTTTTTCCACACGAAAGAATAAAAAGTCCCTGGTAGTTTTCGAATTCATAGCAGGTCAATTCAAGTGATTTGAATTCAGTAAACATAAACAGCTCGGCCACGGTCCGATTTGTTTTTTCAACAAAATTTGTTAACGTCATCTGTACAAATAAGCAGCTTTTTTATTAACTTCTGGCGTAAAGTTTTAAGATTATAAATATTTGAATTAATTATAAAGAGAATAACATTTAAATTTCTTATTTCTGTTTGACTAGTAGAGAAATTTTCAATGTAAACAGGGGGTAATCCTCTGTAAAGTCATTTTCTGAAAACCTTTGTTTAAGTTTTCTCAAATAAAAATCACACTTTAGTATGAAGGTATGCTAAGATGCCATGTCTCTAGTCTATTGAAAATTCGATGCGATAATCTGACCTAAATTTTCTGTTCAATATTGTGGAAACTTCTTCAATACTGTTGAAAGATCATGTTTGCCTTTATCTGTATCAAATTTATCGGCGAAAAATACCTTTGCAAAACGGACATATTCGTCTTAACAAAATAATCTGTAGTCGTATCATAATTATGTAACTCGATTTTGAAAATTTAAGGTTTTTAATGAAGAAGAATGATACAAATATAGAAAATACATTCCGTAGACCTTTCCTCATCGGCGATAAAGAAATGCAATACGACAAAATTAGAGGTAAAGTTCCGCGGCGCTGAACATAAAATGACTAAACGGAACGCATAACCTACTTGCAAAAATATCTTGTAGCTTAACCATTTATAATATAATTTTAAAAATTCAATGTTCAGTTTCAAATAATAAAGCTCATCTGTTCTCACCGATTATTATAAGAAAATGAATACAATAAAATCGGCACGTAAAAGACATAAGTAATAACGGAATTGACGAAAATTATTGCTAATTACAAGTAACAAAGGTAACCATGCAATTTGCGCATAGCTCTCTTCCGATAGCAAGAGACCTTTTCAAAATTTGTAATTCTTTCTCTTTAAAAAAAAACAAAACAAGATCATTCCTGATTAATACTTGTACATGGTCCAGGAGAGGTTACACTGAAATATTGATTTTTGTATCAAAAATAGTAATCACTCCCATTTCAAACTCACGGGAACAATTTTAGAAGCATGCTAAGGCAACACTGGAACACGTTGACATATGGGAGTGCGATCACGTGTTTCAATGTATATTGCATTTGATACAGCTTTTCGGAATTTGTAGATGCTTATGATGGGTACTTATAAATGTGTCGCTAATCGCGAGAGAAATTCTTTACAGGGCATTGTCCTAACATTTAATAGTTTTATTATCAAGCTTTAGATGTTTACATTTTGTTAATATCCAGAAAAATAGTTATTTTTACCAGGACATTTCATTGGTTAATTGAGGAAATCTCATCACCATTTTTGGATGTAGCTTTTTGGTGTAATTTGCACACGGCTCTAAAGATATTTACTTTGGGCGTTGCCTTGATTTTTTGGGAGTGAAAAAGAAACTTTTGTAGAAGTAACATCTAAAAAGTAATAAGAATAAAAGAGAAGAAAAATAATGTTAAAATTTTGGATAATTAAAATATAGAACTGTTAAAAACTGTTTAAAAGGTAGAAAAATAAAAACTGTAAAAAGTTGAACTGTGTTAATTTTAATGTGGCGGAAAAACAGATAATATATCACGGGTCGCTACATTAATTGGTCCCGCGAACCGGATAGAGGATAGAGGATTGTTCTGGATTACTGTAAAGTAAAATGTAAATAAACAGATTATATAAAAAAAGGTTAAAAAATATTATAGTACGACTGGAAAAAATATATGGAATTTATTGGAAGATTATTCGTGATAGTCATAAACAGTCATAAATAGTTTTAAAAAATCACAGAACAAAAGCAGTGAAGTGTATAAAACAACAATAACTACTACGACAAATAACTACAGCAAAGAAAAATAAACAGCATTTATAAAAAAATAAAAAAATCAGGTGAAAAGACTGGGGATTTTCCAAGATCATATTTCTACAAAGATACAGTAATAAAAGTGGTGTAGATTTCATGAATGAAATTCCAGTGTTATCATGAGAGTTGAAACACGGGTTAGGATCAGTTGTTAATTGGGCGTTGAAATTTGATGTCATTAACTGGACAAGGCCGTGATAAAATTCCCATTTAAACTGTAATTACCAGAAAATTGTGGGAGGAAATAATGATAGTTTTGTTGTTATTATGAGATTGCAAGAAAAAGAGAGAGAGAGAAAAAAAATAGGGGTTGGTCAAAAAGTAGCCAAAAGGTGTAAAAAAAAGAAAAAGGAATTATATGAAATTAAAAGAGTTAAAAGAAAAAAAGGCCTAAGTAAAAATATATTCGGCATCAGCTCTTCATTAACGAAAGGGTTGTTCAAAAAATTAAGCGTAAAAGAAAAGTCTAGATAAAAAAAAAATGGCAGAAAAACAAATTGACAGCACAGAACCTATTAGTGAAATGGACTCACATTTAAATTTGCGGTATGTTAAAGGCGTATGGACACGTTTTAGAAATAAACTGAAAGAGGAAATTGAAAAAGCATCAGAATTGTTAAACGGAGAATCTGAGGAATGTGATTTGAACGGAAAAATAGACAGTGCTTCGTCATTCATGGACAAAATTAATTTATATCGAGAAAAGGTAGAGAAGCAAAGTGAAAAACTAGTATTATCAATGGGAGATAGCGATGAAATCGACACGATTGTGGATGATGACTGCAGTTTGTGTTCCAGTGCAATGGACATATATGTAGAATTGAAATATTTCTTGAGTAAGCTGTATCATGCAAAAGAAAAAATAGAAGAAAAACCACAGGAAGATACAGACACCCATATGTTAATACAACTACAACAAAATATGCAAGAATTGATATCTTCACAAATGAATCAGCAAGAACTTGCAAAAAGGGCAGAATACGAAAAATTGTCAGCAGTAAAACTACCGAAAATAGATATGATATCTTTCGCAGGAGATAAAACAAAATGGATTGAATTTTGGGACTATTTTCAAAGTGCTGTTCACAAAAACAAAAAATTATCAGATGTTGAAAAATTTACCTACTTGAAAGGAAAGTTATATGGGGAAGCAAGAAGTTCTATCAGTGGATTAGCAATGACGAATGACAATTACCAACAAGCTATTGATATTTTAAGAAAAAGATTTGGAAATATTGAAGAAATCATAGAAATTCACTACAAAAGATTAATCAACATTCCACCAGTTACAAACAAAGTCAGCAATTTGAGGATTTTCATAGATGAAGTAGACCAACATTTTAGAAGTTTAAAAGTATTAGATCAAAGTATTAATCAAGAAATTATAGTATCAATCGTCAGGTCAAAACTACCGGAAGATGTCTTGTTGCACTTGGAAGTGCAGAAAGGTGTTCATGAAAAATGGACAGTTGAAACTTTGAGCCAACAACTTAATGACTTTATTGTTGCAAAAGAAAGAGCTATGAAAGAGTCAGATATCAAAAATCGAAGTGTCATTAACAGTACAGTTTATGGAGGAAACAACTTCAGAGGGAGTCGTACGTCACATGAATTAAATGATAGAATGAAACAAAGCAAAGAACAAAAATCAAATGAATTATCTCATCTAAAAAACACATCTGCTGCAGCACTTACAGCAAGAGAGAAAACTGATTCCAGATATCAACCACTGAAAAAATGCCGCTACTGCTCAAATATTCATTGGAGTGATGAATGTAAAAAATATGCTACCGTAGCTGATAGAAAGAAATTATTAAAAAATTCATGCTTCAAGTGTTTGAGGGTCGGTCATCAAGCAAGAGAATGCAAAACAAGAAATAAATGCTATCATTGCAAGATAGTCAATGTACATCACAGCAGTTTATGTCCGCAAAAATTTCCACCGCTATTCAAATCTTATGAAAACGTCCAAATGGTCGAAGAAAAAGAGAACGTAAACCATGCTTACCCAAATATTGAGCCAGGTCTTCTTTCATCAAATGAAACAGTTTTGATGCAAACAGCAACAACACAAATACGAAATAAGGAAAATGGAAAATATGAAAACGTCAGATTATTGTTAGATTCTGGAAGTCACAGGACATATGTTTCAGAAGACTTGGCAACTAGATTAAACCTTAAATCTACAGGAGAACAAAACATACAGGTGATAACTTTTGGGAGTAAAAATCCAAAGCCTATCAAGACAAAAACCACAACATTACAATTAAAAAAGACAAATGGACAATATATGTCAATTACTGCAAACATTGTACCAAATATTACAGGAAATATCAGTAGAAAAACTATAAACTTGACGTCACAGAAAAATTATGAACAATTGACTCAAAACCTTACAATGGCAGATTGTTTACCAGCTGAAAGTGAAACTGACAGATTAGACTTGCTAATTGGAAATGATTATTATTTGGACATTGTAAAATCAGATAAAATTGAAGTGCAGTCTGGACTCTATCTATTGTCATCATGTTTAGGATGGATATTAACTGGCAGAACAAAAGTAGATGAAGATGAAATGTCAAATCACACTGATGTGAACATGTTGATTCTACAATATGGAAGCTCTGAATCAAATCTATTTACCAGCGTAGATGAAGCTTTGCCAACAAAACATGAATTAGAGGATTTATGGAGTATTGAGTCACTTGGAATAAAACCTGTTGAAAATTCCGAAGATGAGATAGTCATGTCAAATTTTAAGGAAACATTACAATATCATGACGGACGGTATTATGTGAATTGGCCATGGAAAGAAAACAAGAATGATCTACCTACCAACCGTGAACTTGCATTAGGGAGGCTTAAATCAACAGTAACAAGACTACACAAACGACATGATTTGATGGAAAGGTATGATAACGTTATAAAAGACCAGTTACAAAAAGGTGTAATCGAAAAAATTGATAATACATCAGAACACAGTATTAAACATTATCTGCCACACCATGCTGTTCTTACTCCCGAGAAAACAACTACAAAATTGAGGGTCGTTTATGATGCATCGGCAAAGACAAAATCAACAAATAAAAGTTTGAATGACTGCCTTTACCGTGGAACAGTTATGATACATGATTTATGTCAAATGTTATTGAGATTCAGATTACATCATATAGGTATAGTTGCAGATATTGAAAAAGCATTTCATCAAGTAGGATTACAATCAGAAGCTAGAGATGTCACAAGATTCTTATGGTTAAAAGATATTGAAAAGGGAATGTCAGACATGTCAAATGTAGAAGAATATCGATTTTGCAGAGTGCCTTTTGGAGTTATATCTAGTCCATTTCTATTAGGTGCTACAATTGAATGTCATCTTGACTCTTATGAAAACGAAATTGCATCAAAACTGAAAAATGATATTTACGTTGATAATCTTATCACAAGTACAAGCACAGAGGGGGAAGCAATACATTTGTACAATAATTCGAAAAAAATGTTCAATGAAGCGTCAATGAATTTGAGGGAATGGTCAACAAATAACGAAAATGTAAAAAACTATATACGTTCAGAAGATAAGTCAAATTCTAGAATCAGCAAGGTACTTGGACACATGTGGGACATTGAAAATGACACACTTGGATTAGGCACTTCAAAAGTGTTTAGCAAGAAACTAAATGTTACAAAAAGGAATGTATTAAAGCAAGTTGCGTCAATATTTGATCCGTTAGGTCTGTTTTCACCGGTTACAATGCAAGGAAAGATATTTATTCAAAAACTATGGAACAGAAAGCTTGACTGGGATGAAAATGTTAACGAAAAGGAATTAAAAGAATGGAGTATAATACAACAAAACTTAGAAAAACTAGAGTCAGTGAAAGTAAAGAGATGTCTTTCAACACAAAACAAACAAAAGGATGTAAAAAACTATTTGGTGTGTTTTACAGATGCATCGAAGAAAGCTTATGCTGCGGCAATATACCTGATACAAGAAACTGAAAATACGAGGGAGTCTAATTTGATATTTGCAAAAACTCGATTAGCACCAAACAAGGAGATATCAATACCACGACTGGAACTTATGGCTGTATTGATTGGAGTAAGATGCATGGAATACGTTACAAAAGGGTTGAAAATTAATTTACACGGAAGGTATTTGTTTTCAGACTCACAATGTGTGTTAAAATGGATTAAAACAGAAAAAGGACTTAATGTGTTTGTAAAAAACAGAGTAACAGAAATAAAAAGTCATAGAGACATTGTATTTGGTTTCATATCTACGAAAGAAAATCCAGCTGACATTGGAAGTAGAGGAATTACAGCAAATCAGCTAGAATATTGCAAGTTATGGTGGCATGGACCTAAGTGGCTATCACAACCAATCAATCTGTGGAAAAGCAACAAAGTGAATGAAATGATGCACGACTGTACAGAAAAAGAATGTATGTCAGAAATAAAGAATAAAGAATCTATGATGATATCACAAACAAAAAATGAATGTGATATTGATTGTAGTACGCCGTTTGGAATAAACAGTGAAAATTATTCAACAGCTTCAAAATTGTTTCGGGTGACTGCATATGCACAAAGATTCATCAAAAGGTTGAAGAAATGTGAAAAAATTGAAAATGGTTCAATAAAAATAGATGAATTAGACTGTGCAGAAAAACAGTGGATTTTACACATTCAGAAAAAATGGTATAAACATGTATTTGAATCGATTCAAACAGGGTCGAGTTTAAATATAAAACAACAGCTTGGAGTTTACATAGATAAAAATGGCTTACTTAGATGTCAAGGCAGACTTGAAAACATAAACCTTAGTGAAACAGCGAGATATCCATATCTACTGCCAGAAAAGGATCATGTTACTCGTTTAATCATTGAGAGGGTCCATAAAAAGCAGCTTCACAGTGGATTATCTCAAACGTTAAGTGAATTGAGATACAAGTATTGGATTCCAAGAGGTCGCGCTACTGTACGCGGGGTGTTACAAAAGTGTATATTATGTCGCAAAACGGAAGGCGGTGCATTTAAAATGCCGCAAATGTCAGCCTTGCCGAAAGGACGTGTGACAGAGGCTACAGCTTTCACGAGAACTGGGTTAGATTACTTAGGGCCTATCATGATAAAAACTAATGGGGAACCTAAAAAGGTTTGGATTTGTTTGTTTACGTGCCTTGTTACACGTGCGGTACATCTAGAAATCGTAATGGACTTTTCAACAGAAGAGTTTTTATTAGCATTGCGTCGATTTATTGCACAACGAGGGGCTCCAAAGGAAATAATTAGTGACAATGCAAGTCAGTTCAAATTGGCTAAAAATACGCTAGAATTAATTTGGCAGAAAACAATAAAATGTGATGAAGTTCAAAGTTATGTATCAAATTGTGGAATAAAATGGACTTTTATAGTAGAAAGGGCACCATGGTTTGGAGGGTTTTATGAACGATTAGTTGGACTAGTAAAAAGGTCATTGAGAAAAACATTATGTAACAAGTTGTTGACGAATATTCAGTTACAAACGGTAATCAAAGAAGTAGAAAGTGTGCTTAATTCAAGACCACTTGTTTATGTTGACAGCGATATAAATTCAACAATTACATTAACACCTGGACATTTTTTAACACTTAATCCTAAAACTGGAATATTTGAAGTTGATGTTGATGAAAGTGATCCTGAATATGATCCGTATGAAAGTTCAGCCAAAAGAATGTTAAAAATATGGAAAAAGGCACAAAAACAAAAACAATGTTGAAGTCTCATCGCATACAATCTATGTTTCAACCAAATGTTGGTGATATTGTTTTAATAAAAGATGAGATACCAAGGGGATCGTGGAAACTAGGGCACATTTCTAAACTGGTAATTTCAAAGGATGGCGAATGTCGTTCTGCTAAGGTGAAATTAGCGAGTGGAAATACAATTGGGAGACCTCTTAATCAACTTTATCCTGTCGAGGTCTCTGGGGAGAGAACAAACGAACAAAAAAAGGATACAAACATTCAAAAATATAGGTCCGAACAGCCAGTTCTAGAGACAGAGAAACGTACAAAACGAACAGCTGCAGTAAAAGCTAATGCTAAAATAAAAGATTTTTATAAAAAGGATTTAGTATAAATGAAAAGATGAAACAAATAGTGACAAAATTTGTAATTAATGCTTTCTGTAAAGTGTAAATTATGTTTATGAAGAATTTTATTGGAATTACTATATTCACTTACTTTATAATACTTATATTGTGCTTATATTATAGTACATGATTAATTTACATGATAGTGGATGTTACAATTCAAAACGTTTGGATTTATATAAAAAGAACTGGATGTTTAGTACTTGAATCTAGGACTTTATCATTACGCCATCTCACAAGTGACAATTATTTTGGAGTTCACATATGGTGATAAAATACAAAATTTGAACTGTTTTAAATGACAGAGATAATATGTTTCGATAAATTTTATTCATATTTCATATTATTATATCATTGTACCTTAGAGCGTTATATGCATTATATAATTCAATGTATATTCACTGTATCATACTTACATATTTCATATTACAACTTAAAAATCATTGTAAAGAGCCGAATTATAAAATATTTTGAACTTTTAATTTTAAACAAATTTGGGGAACTTTATCAATTTAGCTATAATGTAACATTTTGTCAATTTTGTCCTGGTGGGGAGTGTCGCTAATCGCGAGAGAAATTCTTTACAGGGCATTGTCCTAACATTTAATAGTTTTATTATCAAGCTTTAGATGTTTACATTTTGTTAATATCCAGAAAAATAGTTATTTTTACCAGGACATTTCATTGGTTAATTGAGGAAATCTCATCACCATTTTTGGATGTAGCTTTTTGTTGTAATTTGCACACGGCTCTAAAGATATTTACTTTGGGCGTTGCCTTGAATTTTTGGGAGTGAAAAAGAAACTTTTGTAGAAGTAACATCTAAAAAGTAATAAGAATAAAAGAGCAGAAAAATAATGTTAAAATTTTGGATAATTGAAAATATAGAACTGTTAAAAACTGTTTAAAAGGTAGAAAAAATAAAAACTGAGAAAAGTTGAATTGTGTTAATTTTAATGTGGCGGAAAAACAGATAATATATCACGGGTCGCTACAAAATGCGACCGAAAAACGTAGCCTTAATAGAATTGTATTGCATTTCCATTTTTATGGAACCAATGAGTGACCTCTGCTTTTGAATTAAGTTGTAAACAAGAAATGTTGTTGGACGTTATTAACATACCTAGCACATAATTTAAACAGTTTAAAACAAATATGCAGCCTGCAATGAAAATACAACTGCGTCGTATCATATTTTATTTTCAACTGCGTCGTATCATTTCGTAAAATCATTATTTTCTTGGAAAATAAACACCTCTTTTTAATGAAAATTTAGTAAATGATGCAAAATCATGTTTTGAAGTTTATGGTGAACTCTGAAAACGAGTATATAATTTATTTGAAGGAGAAACGATAGATAAAGCAATATGAACTTCGTCGTATCCACACAATTTCATAAAAATTCCGCTCCGCTTCGAGTTGCAAGTTCGCTATAACTTTTGTTTTACAAAATAGTTGTCTAAGCAACATATACCGAACGAAGCGGAAAATAGTGTAGCGTGTTAATACATATATCTGGTTTTCAGTCATTTCCAACGAAAAGAGTTATAAACAAAAACATACATTTTTCGTCCAAGATGGCGGCGTTTGTTTACATTTTGTAGGATACGACGCAGTTTTGATTCCCAGCCCTGATTAAGTAGGCAGTATTTGTACACCAGGCTGTCAGTAACACAAACAAGTCATGGTGATGTGTTTTTCTAAATTGTCAAATTTTAGATTTGAGGGGATAAACTTGATATGTTGTGTTTTGCAGGCTGCCCGTTGATAGCGAAATTCGGCGCCTCACTGTTGTTTTTTGTTTAGCAAAATGTTTGCTATCACCAGACTGTCCTGCATATATGGGCAAGGAACTTTTTATATTTCATGATGCAGTATCTGATCACCAGGCTGTTTTCATGTTTTTTCAGTTGATAGACTTTGTTTTGTTGTTTTTTTAGTTGTGCCTCATTGTTTTTGATTTCATATAAAACATATATTTCAAGCAGCCATGGACATAAATTGCCAATACAATACAAAATAAGTTTATAAAAACGATAACACCTTTTTATTTTTATCAAGAATTTATTTTGCCCCAACCTTTTGTGCTGATAAAATACGTGCTCTGTAATAAATATAATTTTTATTTTTAACAATAGGATAACAAACATGTGCGTTTACTTAAAGGGTATAAAGCCATAAACTTACAACATGTATCATTTACTAGAATATTTCTTTCATACAAACTTTTTGGAAGTATTCTCCTTTTTTCAGATATAATCTTAAATTGTTGTAACGGATGTGTAGCTTTATACACTTTAACAAAATTATTGTCATGAATTAAGCGTATGTATATAGCTTGTTAATGTAAACTGAACTGGTGCTGGGTAACAGCAACGAAACTGATAAAATGGTCATTCTAGCAAATTGTCTTACAAGTGATAACTTGACGTCAATTACTCTTGTAGCTATCTAAATATATACTTGATTATCATGTAATGGTACTCTTTTTATTTTGTTTCGAAAAAGAGGTACCTGTACGTGTTACGTTGCTACTTAGCTCCTTCTGATATGCTATTTATAGTATAGCAACATAAGTAAAAAGATTATTATATATCATTTTCCAATTTTGACCCCAGGCTGTAATTTGAACAATTTTGGAAGAGTTTATTACACAATGTTTCATAGAAAATATCTAACCACTAGCCTCAATTTAGAGAAAAAGATATTTTCAATTTTAATTATATACATAAATGGAAAACCTATGACCCTCCGGGCATAGCCAGTTTTACATTTACCCTTTACCTTTGTACCTTCACACAAGAAGATCTTGCTTTATATTTACATAGTAAAATTCAATGACCCCCTCCCAGGGCGGGGAAAATTATGACCTCAAGGCTTTAATTTGAACAATCTAGGTAGAGGTCTACTATGCAATGTTTCATTCCAAATATCTAATATGTAGCCTTTGTTAATTTAGAGGAGAAGATTTTCTTTATGTATACACATAAGGAAAAATAATGTCCCTAACCTCCCCCCCCCCCCCGCGCGGCCATTTCTGACACTAAAGGCAAAATTTGAGGACCTATATATTGACAATATACAAAAATCAAAGCTCTAAGTCTTAATCCTTCAGACAAGAGATTTTGAAAGTTTTCACTATATGGACATAATGAAAATCTTTTCACATGTATATAATATTTCACTACTGTTTGTGTAATACGCTTAAAAGCGTTTTTTTGCGTGGATTAAATTATCAGCCGTAACTTATAGTAGAAATTTTAGCCACTTATTGCAACGTGTTTCATTTTGTTGACTTTAAATCACTCGTGACCAATCTGTTAGGGAACTTAGCTCTCTGATATTCATATTCTCCAAACGTTTTATGAACAAAATGTTTATTGTCTCTGTCTGTTCCACGTCCATAACCACGTGATTTATATTGTTGTTTTCGAACCACCTATGACCACCAGAACAGCAGCATCATTTTCATCATCACCATTACATTATTATCATCATCATTATGAATAATTCATCAACATTATAAGTACATGATCATCAACATCAACAACAAAAACGAACAACAACATCACTATGTCATCATCGTCGTTTTCATCGCTAGTTCATCATTATCATCACCATTATCATTATTAACAATCATCATCAAAATAATTTAGAAAACTTTATCATCAGTAGCATCAGCAGCTTGATCATCACCCACACATAAGAATTATCATCAGTATCATCATCGTCATAATCAGCAGTACATTATCATCCTCATAATCAACATTATAAGCGTTGTCAGAACATTATCATCATTATCATCAACATGACATTACATGCTCATTATTATCATCGTTTTTATCAGTATTTCATCAACATTATCAGTACAACATCATCATCAACAACATAATCATTATTGTAATTATCGACACATCATAAAAATGATAAGCATAACCAGTACATCATCACAATCATCATCATCATCATTATCTGTACCATTTTCGTAATAATCGTCATCAGTAAATTATCATCATTATCATTATCACCATTTGTAAATCATCATTGCAAGAAGTTCATAATTACCGGCATCAAATTGAAATTGAACAAAAATACTTATTCCTACTAGAATGGTCCTTTATTTGAGCATAATTTAGTTAACATATCTCATAATTTTGATGCGATACTGAAAAATATATTAAGTGAAGGTCCTATCAATTCCTCTGTTTACATTTAAGGAACACAGTATAACGGACATAGGATTTTGTCTACGATGATGATGAAAGTGATGATGATGAAACATTTGATGCAATGCTTATCATCATTTGGAGTACTTACGCTGATTGTAATGATAATAAAAATTAAAATTGTTATCGTGATGATGATCATGGTAATGCTGATATGATAATGATGATAATTATTACGATGATGATGATGATTTAAGTGGTGATAGAGGTGATAAAATTGTGATGATTATGATGATGATTATGATGAATATGATGATGATAATGAAGATGGTGAAGGAGATAATGATAATTAAATTAAGATCTTTATGAATGAGGTGATGATGATTTTGACAAGAATAAATGTGATGATGATGAATTTAATAATGAAAAGAAAATTCTTAAAATGGCAGCCATCTTGTCAGGAGTCATTTACAAAATGTAAATGAACACGTGGATTACATGCTTAACTAATGTATTTAAAATAAACTCATGAGTTACCATAGGAATTTTTTTTCAGTTATTTGAAGATTCCATATTTGATGTTTGATGCTAATATTGTCCTTCAACATCATTTGTTTTAAACTAATATATTCATTAAAAGGTCCAAAAAAAATTAGTTTGTAATCATTCACAGTCCCTAACACTCTCCCCCTCTTAAAAGAAATAAAATACTTTTTACTAGCATGATAATAAACCGAACCGTAAGACTGACATCGATAACAGAAGTTTCTTAATAATTGGACTTCAAGTAAAGATCTTGAAGTAATTCAAAATACATTCAAGTAGGTCTGCTATCGGGAATTTAGTTTTAGGTTGTAAATATGGACAGACAAGCGGGCAGAAAACAGACAGACTAGCAGCCAACTTATAGGATAATTACAATATACTAAGATGATTAAGTCTAATTTTAGTTAGACATGATAGAATGTGAGACAAATGTGCTCCTATTGTCCTTCCAATTGTGTGTCGAACACATCTGTCTTACTTCCAACTTGTCGCAAATATGTATGTTTACGAGCACGTCGCTCACATCTCGTGAGACAAATGTGCTCCGAGACAAATGTGCTCCTACGATGCACCTTGAACGTGATTAAGAAATGCTTGAACAATTTACGAAAGCCTGATTGTATTGTTAAACGGATCCTGCTTTACAAAAGCGGACTGTAGGGTGCAAGGTTTAAAAATGTCGTAATTTAAGGTAGTGGGTATTACAGATACTGCAGTTCTTTTTTGCCCTTCTCATGAAAACAATTAACCAAACCATGTATTAGTTTTAAACTTACTTTTCTTGTTTGCATTGCAAATCTCTATAAAAAAAATCAGGATTTCCAGTACGGTTTGTATCGTATAGTGGTATTTTAAATAGAAACCATGATTACATGTTGTTACTTGAAACATCATGTACCTATCAGAGACAGTTTATTCCAATCCGTTATTGTTCTCTATAAGCCCTTATGGAAACAGTTTTTTTTTTAATTTTTTATTTTTTCTTACAGACGTAGAGGGAATAAGACTATAGTTCAGTTGATCAATTTAGAAGATATGATATATTAGATTTTATCATATAGATGTTTACATAACTTGTTAACGTGAGCTGTGTTTTGTTAATATCTTCATTCCTAAAGAAATCCTGATTCAACATAGGCTTTATTGAACTACTTCTGATGAGTATGATGGCCATTTATTGTGTCTTTGCCTCAATTGAGGGGAAGGCGAACACGACAAATATAGGGCGTCGCCGAAACGAAGATTTTCACCCGTCATCACGATATTTCTACAGATGAAGTTTTCGCCTATTACAATATCGTTATTTCGCCTACAATATATGGTGTCTTTGTGTCGGCACTCCCATAAATTTGAAGTCGAAGACTCGATAAGTGAGCATATTATCGTGCCTTCCACTTCGACTTTAGAGGCGTGTCTACGGTATTTAAGTTCCAATCGATTGTAAGACGTTATAGAAAATTGCCGAATATGTAAATCTTCGAAGAGGTTGCCGGGTACCAACAAGGCTTAGCGTTGAAACCTTTTTACAGGTTAAATACCAATTGACTTTGGTGTCATCTCCAGTTCCATTTGCAATACTTGTCTGTGTTATATGTTGGTTGTTCTTCATGAAGAAATGTTTCAATTTGATTGTTTATTAACACACCAGTTTTGTTAATGCTGATTTAATGCTGATTATTGAAATGTCAAATTTTGTCAGACATATACAATCCTACTACAATATATTGATTACTAATATTGTTATTTCACAAACTTCATGGTTTTTTAGTAATTTGCTACAGATAAGAAACATAGGTTGATCTTTATAACTTGAAGAGCATAATATGTTTTACATACGCAATTAGATACACGTATACATATAAAATGAATGCACGTCCGCCCTGAATCAACATTGTTTTTGTTTGTGTAAATATTTCGTCTAAAATAGTGGATTTTAACTAATGTTTAACATACGGTTTATCAAAATCTTGGAAATGCGATCCCTCTGATTCATCACAACCAAATTACACTAAAATTGCAGACTTAGACTGATTCAGTCTGTACATGATGTAAAATGGAAAATGCAACATCTCTTATGCCCTCCTAGCACCGGCTTGAGCGGAACTTATTATTTAACGTTTAAAAGTGGAGGAATCAATGATCACTGAGTTTTTATATTTTTCATTTTGCTATTTCCAAGTTTGTGTACACTTTGTGTATCTATTTTATAATAAAGACAAAGAAGATGAAAGTCTTTTTTTTCTTCATTAGAATATTCAGACACTATATAACAGTAGAAGGTATGGTATAGATGATGTTATGGACGAGTTCTTAACGTATCACATCCCATCACTGTTAAGGACTCTAACAACCTTTATGAACTATATAAAATATTATGTATAGCATGTGTGTGTGTACATGTTCGTATTTACACAAGATAGAGAAAGACAAACTTTAAAATCTAAAAACGGAAAACCTTTATTTTATAATTCATTGACAAACACTGGGGCGTTTATGCCGGCAAGTCTGCAATTTCTGCCTGCAAAGAAGTAAAAAGAAAAACAGTTAATATTGGTGAATGTTATAGTACATGTTTTCTTCTTCAACAGCAATTTTTAACTGATTGCTCTCTACAATGACGTCATATCCTACTGTGAATGCGTGTTAGTTTAGTTTTTTCAAATAGACGTTAACTTTGTTTTTGTTTGTGTTTAAATGGTATATCTATAAACAACTTTGAAAATCTGTCACTTTTTAAGAAGGATGCTGTACATTTAACTCTTGATTGATATGAGCATGATATGAGGTATTGTTATCTACAATATAAAGGACTATTGTTTCACCATTTCACTACATCTTAAGGCAAGATATTCAAACATGATAAATAAATAATAACAGGAGTAAAATAAACAGTCTTGTATATCAGACATGATTAATTTTATGAATTAAGATTTTTGATATTCCTTCCACTATATTATCTACATAAAAGAATAAAACACCGGTTGTCGTCACAGACGTTAATATCAATCACTCGGGTAACTGTTAGCGGAAACTCATCAACGTCTTGTTAGCGCTAAAAACATGTACTAGTGGCCTCAAACTGCTTATCCCTGATATTTAAAGTTTTGAAACATTCCGTTTGGTGATAAGGGTATTTCAATATCAATCTTCAAAGCATAATTTATAAACTTTAGGTTCCAGAAGAATAAAAAATTCAATTTACATTCAGGTGTTGTCGTTGAATGTCTTTTCTAATTAGTTATTTCTAAGAATTCGAATATTTAACCCTTCTGTAAGGATATTATGTATCCGCTTTTTGGTATGAGGGGTGATGCTTATTGCATTCATATACATGTATTTCTGTCAGCAGTTTAAAAGATTAGGATTAAAAATTAAGATTTAATAAAAATACATTGTTCTCACTTTAAAAGTGTTCTTATTCATGTAAGAATTAATGTAGGCTTAATCTATAAGTAATTATAAAAACATTAACATAGTTACCTCTCGTTCACACACAGCAAATGCTCCAGATAAACACGAAGACGCTTTCCACTTATTGTCGGGATTTCCTGCTGTCATTAAGACACAATTATCTCTGCAAAACAAGACGTATGACCATAAATTTATTTGATATAAGGTCATTAATGAATATATTTGTATGTACATTGCTTATTATGGTGCGCATTAAGATTCAGAATTTATAGAAAAATTTAAAAAGAGTCTTGCCTTTCAGCTAAGGAGATTGACGAGACATTTCGGCAGACGCTTGTAACACTGCGCTTTGGAGTCAAACGCTTCGAGAAAGAAATACCAAAGTGCGTTAATATGCTACATATTAACGTACTTCGGGCTGTAAAGTTACGAAGTTGTCTACAGAGCTTTTGCACTGTCTTATTTTTGATCAGCTACTTTGAAATATTTTAAGGTTGAATTCAAGAAAACTAAATAAAAAATCTGGAGAAGGGGTTGCCACTCGAATGCGCTGATAACGTTGTAAAACTTACCTGTTAGCAATTGCTGGCTGGCCAGATGCCCAATTAGTGTATTCGGTTTTGTTTCCGCCATACCATACCCATACTTTAGGATCATTTAACATATTTGTCAAACCAATGAACACGTTTGCTGTGTCGGTCACTACAAAGGAAATGTAGCTATATTATATAGTTATGAATTATCATTATTAACCTAAAACAATAGGGAACTCTTATTTTTGCTTTAGTTTTGTAAATAGAAAAGTGTGTATTTACATGTCTTGTATTTTCTCTCTAAAACATAATTACAATATATAATGATTCGATGTAGATTCATGTGTGTATAATAAACTTGATCGATATAAAGGTAAACGTGGAGGTCATGACCCTAACACCCCTCGGATATCCTCCCACCACGGGATTAAGCTTGTATATGAAAACCCTCTGAGACTGGATATCAACCTTAGTTTGTTATTGAAAATCACCCTACATTTTACGTGAACTTCTAGTATTTAAATATGTTATACAGTGAATCTGAATTTTTTTATTTAACGAGCTCAACAAAGTATTTGTCGTTGTCAAAACAACTGTTTGGAACGAGAATATTATCAAAAAAGGAACTATAATTTGTTCAAAATGATATGGGTAACTTTTATTTTACAGTATTTATTTAGGTGATAAACCGCAAAAAATCTTCGTTTATCAGCTTTGGTTAAAAACAATAGTGAAAACTAGAGGTAGATCTAACTGAGGTCCACAACCCCACTCACCACATAACTTCTGTAAAATTTAAACATTGTATTTCTGAAATATCATTATAGATTTATTTTAAATAAATATCCTTTACATTTTATTATAGAATGCCCGATAATAGTTTGCAAATGTAAAAATGACCAATGAAAATTCTCCCTTCATTCAGTTCTTCAGTAAATTTTACAGGAAGTCAAACTGATTTAAGACGCCTTTCGGCCGGAAAATATATGAGCCGCGTCACGATGTGGGATTAATTAGAACATATAAGCCGTGTCATAAGAAAAACCAACATAATGGGTTTGCGACCAGCATGAATCTAGACCAGCCTACGCATCCGCGCGGTCTGATCAGGATCCGTGCTGTTCGCTATCAGTTTCTCTACTTGTAAATAGTTAGTAAGCGAACAGCATGGATCCTGATCTGACTGCGCGGATTCGCAGGCTAGTCTGGATCCATGCTGGTCGCAACCCCATTATGTTGATTTTGTCGTGACGCGGCTCAATTAAATTACTGTTACAACTCACCGCCTATACCACTCAAAAATGCCGCTACTTTTGACAGTTTATCAGCATCTTCTATGTTGACCAATTTGCTGCCATATGCGTGACACATAGTCTGGTATGAATTAAAAAGCAAGTTAATTTGTTAAAGTTATAATAAACACCAAATACTTAGGAATTTAATCTATCGCTATTACGGATTTGCCTGGTAAAAACAAATAGCTTGGGAAAACCTGAATAAGTATTTTGTATGAAAGTCAAAAATACTACTTTGTTTTAATTTTAATTGCCTTAATTTATTATTAAAACCATTATTAAAGACCCATGTTTTAAATTTCTTAAAATATTAAAATTGTCAGGCTTTTTAGACAATGATGTACCTTTAGATAAGTATAATATAATTCTCCCTGTTACCAAGTACATCCTTCTTTTAGCAACTGAGTATATGAACAAAATATTTCGCTTCACTGTGAGTTGCTGTTCTTTGTATTTTAATAAAAACGATAAACTAAAAAATACAGTGAATATTATTTGGTTAAGTAATTCCCTTATAAAAATGCCATTATTGCGCTTGCTGGCTTCGTAACGATGTCAGGTGAAAAGAACGGTTAGAAAAAAAAAAAAATAAAAAAAAAAAAACAAAAAAAACAAAAAAAATTCATTTCCAAGTTAAAAATAAACTTATAGGGAAAATATACAATTTTATACCTTGAAAATAAATGAACTTACTGAGTGCGTATTGTGCTTCTCTGCCTAAGAGCCAGAGTAGGCGAAACAATAGTTATTATCACTGGACAGGTAGAACCCAGGCGTCGCACATGAATCAAGTGCTACGTATCCTAAAATGTAGAAAATCTAGGATAAAGAAGAAATCAATTACTGTTCATTTAAAGCATACTCAGATCAATTTTGAAAAAAGGAAACAATAACGGAGATTTAAAATATATCATATGCTAATCGAACTCGGCACCACCTTAATGTAGCCATTCTGCCCACATCTTTTTTTATTGGTGAAGGCATGATGTTCGCTGTTGGAAATGACCTTATTTTCATCCATTTATGTAAATCATTCCATTTTAGATAATTTTTTTAACTTCAAAATATTAGAAAATATCAATAATCAAATACACAAGCGAGCATTTTTGTGATAGCTGTATAAGCATCTTAAGTATACCACAAGAAAAATATGTATAATGAAAATGTAAATACTTATGTACTCATATAATCTATATATATATTGTTGATAACTTCTAGTTTAAGTATAAAATTTGATCTGTACTTAACCAATATGTTATGCATGTTATTAACACCAATGTTTGTCATAATTATGCAAAATTTATATATGTTTAATTGTTTAGTTTCACTTTATAACATTGTATTATTATGTTTGAATAAGTTTGATAATGTTTTATTTTTCCAAATTCCATAAGGGCCACATGGCCAGTGAGGATACACAATACAATATATATATGGCAAGACAGTGTAGAAAAATAAATTTCAAAACAAGTTTTAAACAACACAACGGAGAAGGTTTACATTCATTTGCATGTTGAAATTTCTTAGTATTTAATAATCCATTTCTAATAATATCTAAATGTTTACAAAAATTATGTATGTGGTGTATTTCTAAAAACTACCCCTGCTCTTCCTTGTCAACAAAATAACTATGTGTGTTAGATATATGAGTCCTTACATACTTAGTCATATCCTGATCTTGTCAAAACGAAACACAAGACCAACATAAAATTATGAGTTTTTAATATTTTAGATAGGAATTTGCATACTGTAAGTATCCTGATCTTATCGAAAACAAAACACAAGATCAACATACAGCTTGAAGAGAGATATTCTTTAAATGCTCGAAATCTAATGCTCAGTTAAAAATACAACAATATTATTCTGTAATGTATAGTCGTATGAACGTTACATCGTGATTATTCGGAAGAAGAGTTCGTGGAGTAATTTTTAGAAAAAACTTTAAAATTTGCTATCATGCATATATGTAATCATATACATATACACATACATATACATACATACACATATATACATACAAAATAAATATACTATAAAAATTACACTTATGGACATCACGAAGATTGATTACGATTTGTATACAACTTCTCTTTTTCTAATTTCAAAAGCGCTATGCACATATTTACCAAACTTACGTGCTACACAAAATGTTTTCCGTATTTAATAAGCCTATGAGTTTTAACAACATATTTGGTCTTTTCCAATAGTAAGTAGGTATTAAACGTTTTCTTATATCACTATATAATTTACATTCCAATACAAAATGAAATTCGTCCTCTAGGACGTTACAACAAAAACAAGTTCTTTCATTAAATGGTGTACTATGGGGTTTAGTCCATCTACCAGTCTCAATATGAAGCCTATGAGATGATACTCTTAATCTTGTTACACTACTACAGAATCTTTTCACATGAATAAAATTAAGGTATGGTTGAAATTTAAAGTCAGATATTTGTTTATAAAACAGAGCTCTACTCGAGTTATCTAATCTACTCGACCAATTCTGTACGAATTGATCTGTTAATCTTTGTTTTACAATACATAAAAAGTAATCAGAGTTTCCCACACTTTGCATTAACCAAGCATCATAAAAACCTAAATCACACAGAAGATGTTTTACAAGTGAACACCAATTAGTTTTGTTGGGAAAATTTTCAAAATCGTTTTTCAGTAATGTATAAACTTTCTTCACATATTTATTTTCATTTGTATGCAATATCTTTAACCAAAATTTTACAATATTGTAATAACGTAATGATTTTAATGATATTCTACCTAGTTCACCAAATACAAAATCGTTTTGAGTAACTTTTTTGACACCAAGAATCCGTTTACAAAATTGCATATGTACTCGTTCTACACTATTACCTTGAATAAACCCCCAAACCTCGCTACCATAATTCAAAATAGGCATTATAAGTTTATCAAATAGTTCTAATCTATGTAAATCAACAACAACAACAACAAAAATAATAAATCACTCAAATGTGGAAATAAAGAGTATATAACTATGTATGGGAAGCTATGTTCCCTATTACGGAACAAGTAAAGTTGGTCCTTTCTAAAAAATATATGCTAGTTTTTTATAACACTACGTATTCATATCATATTGTGGCCACCTATAGAATGCAGAATTTAAAACATAACATATCTACTTTGTGTAAAGTTAAAACATGTTTATTCTATATTTACAAAGAGACTGCGAAGCAATTACAAATGTTATCAAACTGAGCACAGCATATTCTTAATTATCCTTATTATCAATCACTTCTAAAAAATGATCCAATATTTAAGTAAGGGCTATAAAATATATGCTTTAAAATGTTTATTGCTTTATAACTTTTTTTAGAAAAATATTTTTTTTTAACTTTAAAAAAAAGGATACTTCCAAAATGCATGTACAAAACATACTTTGTATATTTCCTTAAAAACAAATATTATATTAAGGACATCATTACAATACAATCAAGAATATTTTATTCTGTTTAAGTACAATATTCATGTGTGTTAAAAGGCAGTGACATTCTGACAATCAAGGATATAATTATGGAAGCATAATTTTACCGTTTATTAATCTTATAAAAAAAATTCATTTGTATACCCTTTAATAACAGGACGTGAAAGAACGTTTATGAAAAGTAAAATGGGCCGTAAAAATTATTACCTATGACAATTAACAAATGCAAACGCTTTTTTTTTGTTATTTATTTGATGTTAAAAGAACAATAATTAAAAAAAAGATGTTTACCTTGGAACAATAGTACCAATGTAAATGCTAGAACTGTAACCTTGGTATTCATCTTCTGCTGTAAAACAAAAGAATATACATGTATCAAATAGATGAAGGAAAACAATAAAACTGGTATATTTGTCAATAAGCATTGTATTATGTTTAATGCTTTATGTTTAATATTTGAATCAGAATAGTGTCTAACAATTAACTATTCTCCCGCTATGAACACATAAGCCGTGTCATAAGTAAAACCAACATAATGTGCATCTTCGCAGTCTGATAAAGATCCATGCTGTTCGCTATCAGTTTCTCTAGCATGGATCCTGATCAGACTGCGCGGATGCGCAGGCTTGTCTGGATCCATGCTGGTCGCAAGTCAATAATGTTGGTTTTGTCGTGAGACAGCTCATATGTTATTCTATGAGTCACCATTCAACAACGAAGAGTACGATTGTGGTGGTTGGACCTGTTACAATTTTGGCGGCATAAAAAATTATGAAAATCACCGTATACAAAAAGCAGGAGTATTTATTGTATCAATAAGAATTTGTAAATGGAAGTTTTGAATTATAATCAACATTTTCTTAATGACCAACTTAAACATTAACTCGTAAATAGAATAATAGGAAAAAGTGTAAATACTATCAATTGAAAAAAAAAACATTTGATATAGCGAACAATTGGTTACAGTGCACAATGTTTTGTATTTTCCGAGAAGCCCTTTGAAAGCATGATTAACGTTTTTTTCATTAACACGATTATTACTTCTTGTAAGAAATAGATTACTTCTCGACGAGTTTAATGTTGTCACTATAATAAACAATATCTCAATTCTGTGTTGTTGATTTTTTAGATCTAAATCTCTGTGTACATTGATAATTTATGATTGTCATCAAAAAAATTTTACCAGCAGTAAAAAAAAAATAAAATACTCAAATCAACAATCAATATGCAAGCGTATTCTGGTAAAAAGAAATGTATAACAATATAGTTAGGTTAAAATAAACAGTACCTTTTCAATCGCCGGAACCTTTCGTATAATTCAAAAATATAATTTACTGTTAAATCTGAACTTTATTTTGTTATGGACGATTCACAAGTTATCAAACAAAATGGTTATGCCAGAGGCAATATCTTTATTGTTTATCTACGTTTGAAAATTTAATTAAAGTGATGTCATTCTTGATTTATCAGAGAAAGTAATTACATTTTTTTTGTATATGTCTGATGAACAGATAACATCAAAACAGTAACGTTAATAAAGTATTGAAAAATAAAACACGTTTGTAGACATGTATGAAGTTTTCTTATCAGTTATGTAGCTATTTGTATGTTACCAACGAAAGCATAATTTTATTACATAAACTATAAATGTGTCAACACGAATGCCCAAACACCAGCTGTTATGTCAGTCTAATGACGTACATCATGACACCATGGCAGGGGGACAAAGGAGATTCTACATATACCCTTACTCAAAGTGGTTGGGACATAAATACGACATCGAATTATATTCCAATGTTCCTCAATATAAATAAAATTTCAATTTTCAATTTAATATTCCAAAGTATGCTTTGTAACACCGCACTTTGGGTCCAACCCCAAAGTGCGTTAAACTTCGCACCGCACTTTGGGGCCCAACGCACTTTGGGGTTAAAATCGAGAAATTGACCCCAAAGTGCGTTAATATGCTACATATCAACGCACTTTGGGTTCAAGAGGTCTAAAGGTGTCATCTGAGTTCTGCTTAAATACTGAGTACTGACCTATTTTCTATCTGCGACATTGGAATATTTGAGGTGAAGTTCAAGATGACGGTCAATACTGTATGATGCTTAAGTGATAAAAGTTTCACTAATTTTACCACTTGAAATATCTAAAATTTGTGTTCATATAACAAAATTACGGTGGCATAAAAGTGACATTTGCAATTTTTTTTGTTTTTAGTTTTGTATACTTATCTTATTTTAGTTTTGCATACATATTTTTTCAGTTTTGCATACATATTATTTAGCTCACCTGTCACAAAGTGACAGGGTGAGCTTTTGTGATCGCTTTTCGTCCGTCGTCCGCCCGTCCGTCCGTTGTCCGTCCGTCCGTCCGTCCGTAAACTTTTACTTTATATGACATCTCCTCATAAACCACTAAGCCAATTTCATCCAAACTTCACAGGAATGTTCCTTTGGTTGTCACCTTTAAAAATTGTTCAAAGAATTTAATTCCATGCAGAACTCTGGTTGCCATGGCAACCGAAAGAAAAAACTTTAAATATCTTCTTTTAAAAAACCCTAAGAGCTAGAGCTTAGATATTTGGCATGAAACATCTTCTAGTGAGTGTCTATCTAGTTTGTTTAAATAAAAGCCCTCGGGTCAAAATTGGCCCCGCCCCCGGGGGTCATTGATTTTTCCCTATATGCATATAGTAAAAACTTAAAAAATCTTCTTTTAAAGAACCCAAAGAGCTAGAGCTAAGATATTTAGCATGAAACATGTTCTAATGGGTGTCTACCAAGTTTGTTCAAATAAAAGCCCTGGGGTCAAAATTGGCCCCGCCCCGGGGGGTCATTGATTTTCCCTATATGCATATAGTAAAAACTTAAAAAATCTTCTTTTAAAGAACCCAAAGAGCTAGAGCTAAGATATTTAGCATGAAACATGTTCTAATGGATATCTACAAAGTTTGTTCAAATAAAAGCCCTGGGGTCAAAATTGGCCTCGCCCCGGGGGGTCATTGATTTTCCTATATGCATATAGTAAAAACTTAAAAAATCTTCTTTTAAAGAACTCAAAGAGCTATGGCTAAGATATTGAGCATCAAACATGTTCTAATAGGTGTCTACAAAGTTTGTTCAAATAAAAGCCCTGGGGTCAAAATTGGCCCGGCCCCAGGGGGTCATTGATTTTCCCTATATGCATATAGTAAAAACTTAAAAAATCTTCTTTTAAAGAACCAAAAGAGTTAGAGCTAAGATATTTAGCATGACACATTTTCTAATAAGTGTCTACCAAGTTTGTTCAAATAAAAGCCCTGGGGTCAAAATTGGCCCCGCCCCGGGGGTCATTGATTTTCCCTATATGCATATAGTAAAAACTTAAAAATCTTCTTTTAAAGAACTCAAAGGAGCTATGGCTAAGATATTGAGCATCAAACATGTTCTAATAGGTGTCTACCAAGTTTGTTCAAATAAAAGCCCTGGGGTCAAAATTGGCCCGGCCCCAGGGGGTCATTGATTTTCCCTATATGCATATAGTAAAAACTTAAAAAAATCTTCTTTTTAAAGAACCAAAAGAGTTAGAGCTAAGATATTTAGCATGACACATTTTCTAATAAGTGTCTACCAAGTTTGTTCAAATAAAAGCCCTGGGGTCAAAATTGGCCCCGCCCCGGGGGTCATTGATTTTCCCTATATGCATATAGTAAAAACTTAAAAAATCTTCTTTTAAAGAACTCAAAGAGCTATGGCTAAGATATTTAGCATCAAACATGTTCTAATAGGTGTCTACCAAGTTTGTTCAAATAAAAGCCCTGGGGTCAAAATTGGCACCGCCCCGTGGGTCATTGATTTTCCTTATATGTGTATAGCAAAAACTTAAAAAATCTTCTTTGAAAAAACCCAAATAGCTAGAGTTAAGATATTAAGCATGGAACATCTTTTAGTGAGTGTCTACAAAGTTTTTTCAAATAAAAGACCTAGGGTCAAAACTGGCCCGGCCCCAGGGGTGTCATTGTTTTCAACTATAATGTGTATAGTAAAAACTTAAAAAAAATTTTCTTTTAAAAAGCCCAATGAGCTAGAGCTTAGATGTTTAGCATGAAACAACTTCTTATGGGTGTCTACCAAGTTTGTGCAAATAAAAGCCCTTGGGTTAAATTGGCCCTGCAACATTGGGGGGGTGGGAGGGGAGGGTTGGGGGGCCTATATACAGGTGAGCGACCATTTGGGCCATCATGGCCCTCTTGTTTAGTTTTGCATTCATATTTTATTTTTGTTTTTCATACATATTTTAGCCAATCAAAACAGCCTTCAAATCTCATAACAGCCCACAGGTGAGTATAAAACTAGCACAGAGGTTTGGTCACATTTCGGCCCATTTTTGGAATCGGCCCAGTCGTTTTCGGTCGTGCAAGTCTGGATTCGGCCGACCCTTTTCGGCCGATTTTTTTATATTATTTGATTTTATATAATTATTGTTTTTTATTATTATATACTATAATATAAGTGTCTATTTTGAAAGGGCTGTTGATTGGTGATCAGTTATTATTCCATGAATATGCACCACTCAACCCACCCCCTGAGAATTGAGAATTATGAAACTTAGGTCAGTTCTTTAGCACATCTAGATAATGTGCAGAACTTATATGCCAGGTGTGCCGGCTCAAGGTCGGGTCACATCTTCAGTCCAAAGGATAAAGACTTGGGTTTCATGTCCGCTCCTCATCTCCGAAACCCCATGAAGGATTTTGAGGCACCTTTTGAGAAATGTTAACCACATCCTGACCATATGTAGAACCTTTCTTTGGGTTACCGCGAACTATATATTTATATATATATACTAAAGTGTTGTTATTTTTTGATACCTCCAAAAATGAAAATGTTGGTATTTGCAAATGGGGTACTGTAATTTACAGATGGCGAAGTGTTTGAAAATGGTGTTTTACAAATGGTGTAATTATCATAACCTCTACTTTGCAAATGGCGTCATGTAAAAATATGTACGAACAAAAAAAATATGTACAAAAAAACTTAAATAAAATATGTATGCAAACTAAAAAAGAATATGTATGCAAAACTAAAATAAAATATGTATGCAAACTAAAAAAGAATTTGTATGCAAAACTAAAAAAAGTATGTATTCAAAACTAAAAAAATATGTACGACAAACAAACAAAAAATATGTACAAAAACAAAAAAAGTATCCAAAAAAATTACAAATGTCACTTTTATGCCACCGTTCAAAATACTCTAGTACAGAAATTGTGTATTCCTAGAATTAAAAGATGCTGCGAAAAATATCCCTTTCTGTCGGTCATTTACTTGATAACTTTTGGTGCCATATTGAGCCCCATTTTAAATATGTTGGGAATGAAATAAAATGCAGTTAATATTTTTTTCCAAAGAACTATAAATATACTCTATTGCAATGTTTTGGTGAAACATCAAGTTTTTTTCGATCGGACTATAAATACATGTAGTGATTTTTTTACAAATACATTATTAGGCTTATCAACAAACTTAAGGGTTTTTGTAAGCTCCGTAACAACCGTTCGCCAGAGGGCTTTTATTATGGGAAATCTTACATACTTCTTTAGAAAGAGCAAACATGATTTTTATAATGTTAAAATAATGGCATCTGGAGAAATGCAAGATGCTTGTCACCTGAATAAAAGTAGCGATAAATGTGAAATTATTTGTCATAAAGAAGTCAAAACACTGTAGTATTTAACTTCCATATAAAATACTAATTCACTATAACTGTACTCATCATTGCCAAAAAACAACAGATGAAAAAAGATGGTTCAGGTAATTGGCCAATGTGTATTTTTTGGATAATATAGAGGAACATCAAAATGAAAAAGCTTTAAAGAAAATCAAATAAAAGCATAATGGGCCTTTAAAACGTTATTTTTAACACTCGGGGGGATCGATACCCCACAATCCCCTCTATACCCCAGTGAGAATTTTACATTATTCTAAAGCTCCGCTCTTAATGTGCGTCTACTTAAATAGTTGATATTTTTAGTACTGCCAGTACGGACTACTATTTAAAGCCGCATCTACACCTAGTCAAGTTTCTTATATGTCAAATTTAGCTGAATTAATGGCTCTTTCAACATATTATCAGGCACATTTTTTACTGAAATGTCTTACTAAGATTTCTCAGAATTTATACCTTTGTCTTTGCTAAGACTATCATATTTCTATAAAATGTGTAAATAAAAACGGGAAAATAATGCATATAGCTAAAAACAATGGATTTAATGAAAGGTGTACATTCTTTTAAAATAAATGGAAAATTTGAGAAAAAATAATTTTAAGCTTAATAATTGATACAAATTCTTTATTTGGTGATTAATTTGGTGAAAGTTCTTCACTTACTAACATGACTAATCAAGACTATCTAAATCCCTATTGATGAGAGCACATGTTTG